TAAACTTCACACACACATGGTACATCATGTCACAAATAGATATGTGCATTTGTTTCATGATCCGCTTAACAATAGCTGAATGATGGCCATTTTAAGGTCGAAAATGCATCAAAATCACGTATTTTCACAATTCCGGAACCGGATCTCAGTCATGCATGGTTGGATTTTGTTCAGATTTAGTGCATATATTAAACATAATATAAGCTCGATGCATACCAATTTTTCTTCGGATCAAGTTCAAAATGGCCAACTGGCGGCCATTTTGTTTTAAAGAATTTAGTTTTCGATCCATATCTCGGACATGCCTGGACAGATCAAGTTCAAACTTCACATACACATCATACATTATATCATACATATGCCTGTGCATTTGGGCCAGTCCTTTTAAGGTCAAAAATTCACAAAAGTTGCACATTTTCACCACACCGGAACTGAATCTATGTCATGTGTGGGCAAATTTAGTTTTAATTTTTTTTTGGATTGTATTGAAAATGGCTGACTGGTGGCTATTTTGTTTTACTGAATGCAGTTCAACATCCATATTGTTGCTGCTTTGAATGTATATGTCACTCAAATATGAACGGAACGGGGACGTGTCATTGACAATGACTTGTTTCAATTTAATTTGATCGGGGTTGCGTGTAAATACACTCCATGTGTGAGGGACATCACACAACATGCCCTTTATTTCTTCACTATCAATTCGTGTCGATGTATTATTTTGGAATTGTACGTTAGCTTACATTTGGCTTGTAGCAAATTTAACACCTCTCCGAGTTGTGACTATTTTTGAAGCCTGCCATTGTTTTTATTTAACTGGCGGCGCGCGACACAAGAATTCCCTTTATAGTCGTGACCCTTCTGTGACCACCCGTTTTTACTGACTACAATTATAATTCTATGATTCTTTAACGCAGACCACAGGTTCATACTAGTTTTACCGAAACAAAGAACAATTTTCGCATGTTAATGTGGAATGTGATGGCTGTTTCATGAAAACACCTTGATGGTCGTTTATCAAATTATTGTGCTGTCATGTTTCCTGTGCAGTGTGAAGACATCGATTCTATGCAAACGACTGAACGAACTTTTTGATATAAACACTCAAATGAATAATAAACAAAAAGCACTACATAGAAATAGTAGTTCAAGCTTCATTTATTTGCGACCTTCACAATGTTATCCACGTACACTGGCCGACTGTAATGTTGAGTACCGGGTTGCCACCTAGGCTACTAGATCGCGTTGACAGCTATTTGCTATCATTATTTTTATATATGAATCGCACCTAAAGTAAAAGCTTCAACAGCATAATGTCTTAATAATCTAACAAATCATGTACACACCATTTCCTAATCATGGTAAATATTTGATTTTACCATGATAAAACGCATTTGAACATACGTTATAATGCACAAGCGAATTCAGCCATTGATCAAACTGATATTCCTGTAGTACCGAGGTCACTACAAATGATTCATTTCACCCCTTGCATACACCCGTTTTCCCGGCCTTTGTTTTACCGCTCACAAACAACACATTTGACCCCTCGTATAGGCCTTTTTTGCCACTCGCAAATGATACATTTTACCACTCGCATATGGCATATTTTGCTACTTGTGACTCGAAACTTGGTACTCGCATACGGCACTATTTCTAGGTTGTACATACCTAATTTAGGCTAATAATTCTGTTGGGATATGACTCAATCTTTTTCATGAATTTAGCACATAGCTGCCAGCTAAAGATGAAAATTAAGTGAACTGGGTAGGCTCTGATTGCAAGACAACTACCAACATATTTAATGCAGTTAGGCATCTGAGACAACAACATTACATTTCTCAGTCTTCTGCTTTTTTTTCAGAGTGGCCTCAATTTTGTTCTTTCTTCACATGATTTTGTAATCTGCTACTGGACAATCCATGCCTTACAAACAGCGAACTTGGCAATGTAATGATAACAGGTTATATATGGGGGGATAGTATTGGTAACATGTAACATAGAATATACATAAAAGAGTAGTTTGTGAAGTAAACATTATAAATTATAAGTATTTGTATCTCTTACTTGTGACAAGCCAGGTGATATCTGTAGTGATGGCAAGTATTCTTCTTGTAAAAATCTATATGCATTTCTCCCCTGCTTACTGACAACAGTTTTTAATAGGGCTCCATCTTCCTGAAGAGCCTGTCATTATGGTAATACATAAGCATAGTGTGACAAAGATTACACCATGGTACAATGTAAGTATAGTTCTAAACTTTCTTTGTGAATTTTAAACCTGATGGTGATGCACATGATTTCTCACAAATTTCTGATCATGATCAAAGTAGTCTTGATTTACTTG